CCCCAAAACCCCAAAACCCCAAAACCCCAAAACCCCAAAACCCCAAAACCCCTAATTGGCTAAAAATTATTGAAATTTAACCTTAGTGTTTTCCTTCAAATGCTCCTTTGCGTCTTTCCACTTTCTTAATTGAGACAGACAATCGATTTTATCGTCCGTATTAGTTCGCTTTTGTAAGATTTCAGTATCAGCTCTTAAGAATGGGTTAAATGTAAGCTCGTCAGCAAGGGTTCCTGGAAGGCAAATCTCTCTATTTTCCACCTTTTGCTCAACTTCTTCAAGCATCTTATGCACTGCTTCATTTTCAGGATCTACAAAGGCTGCATATTTCAAATCATCAAGAGCATATTCATGACCATAGAGTAATTTAGTCTCTGGTGGGCATCTATAGTTGGGGTTTTAAGTTACCTATCCAAGAATTTGTCAAAGCATTGCTGCATTTGTCTTGGAGTTCCTTCGAAAAACATTCCACAGGAGCCCATGAATAGAAAATCTCCTGTGAAAGCTATTGTTTCATCCCCAACTCCTCTGATTACATATACGGAATGACCAACTGTGTGTCAAGGTGTCAAGATCACTTCAATCCTATTTTAGGTTAAGGTCATGAAAATTAATGTGTCTTTAGAGCTAAATTAGATAAAGGGTTCCTTAATTTTTAGTGAGAAGGTAGAGCAACTCTCCAGCGATTTGTAGCTTCTTATTACAGTTTATTCATCGGAAAGATCGCTAAAAGTAAACCTTGGTTTGCCAATACAAAGCAGATCCTCTGTATTTAGAATTTTGGACTAATTAGGCTTCTCTATTATCTAGTTCAGGCACTGGAGCATCATTAGAGACAAGATTGATATGCAATCACCATCTCTTCAGCATAAATTTTAAAACTCATCTCTTGGAATACTAAAACACGATTTCAACTGAGTCGGCAGAAATGCCAGCTCAAAAATTCCCTCAAGCTGATGTTCTTATTTACTGACTTCTCTAATTATGACAGCAACAAGGTTCTTTTTTATTAAACATCTAACCAACAGAGGGTTGCCCAATCAGCTATCAGAACTTCAGCTGGTCCAAAGATACTTGACTAAGATTGAAAGGGTTTATCTTGAAGATCATTCTTGATCTTCCCACCAAGCTTTACTGTTATGTTGGCTAGCCAGTACCAGTGACTCTAATTTTGGTTAACTAGTCTAGAGCCTACATGGGTTTAACTACAGTGCCTGATGATTTCTACTGGTTTCAGGGTATTTGCCATATAAAAATGCTAAAACTCTCAAAGCCTGTTAAAATCTAACTTACTCGTATCCATTGCCAAACTTGATGATATCTCCATCATCCACAAAGTTAGTGCAGCCCTCCACTTGGTCCTGCTTGCTGCCATAGATTTCTACTTCTGGAAACTTTTCTTGGATCTGGAGGTTTCCAGCTGCGTGGTCCCAATGCTTATGTGTAGTCAAGACTATCCTAACTCTAATGTTAATTCAAAATATCAATAGTTGTTTTAATCTGAACTTATTCTAGAATGGCTCCTCTATCATAGCAATTCATAATAGCTAAGACCAAAGGAGATACTTATCAGACGGCAATGAAAAGTAATTTTACAGACTTTTAAAAGCATTATTAAGCCGACTTACATTTTACCATTCCTTTCTTTCTCAAACTTCTGTTCTTCCTGGTTTTTCTAAATTGTAAGAATATGAAAAGGGCTTTGATAATAACTTTAGTTAGTGAAATGATGCAAAACTTACCTCTCCAAGAGACAAATATTTTTCTAAATATTCATCAAAAGTATCAGGATCTGCTGGGTCTACAAGGGCAACATCTCCAGTGACTTCATCAATTACAATATAGCCGTAATTGTCTTCAAGATATGGGACGACCTTGATCTCTATCCCCTTGCCTTCCTCGCCAAAATGCAAACTTTGGTAGGGATCAACATGAGGGGTTTCAATACCTCTTAGCTGTCTGTAATGTCTGTTTCTACCTAGTCTGGTTAAGTAAAGCCTGTATAATAAGCAAAAGCACATGGTTATAATATCTTTAATTTTACAATTTAATACAAAATAATAGGGGTTTTGGGGTTTTGGGGTTTTGGGG